CATCACAGCTTTACAGAGCACCTTTACAGCAGAATATAGCAGAAGAGTCTACAAAGATTTAGTACATTCCTCTAGATAAAGTCACCATGTTCAACCCAGCACAATGCTACAAGGAGTTACTTTTTTTAAATGAAGGTTTAACTTCGGCTCACTTGAATCTAAATATTACAAATCACAACCAAGTATGGGAATTTTTTCTATGAATGATCTCAGTGCATTGAATGAACTGGTACTCACCATTACCTGCAGCATTTTCAGTACTTGGAAGAGCAGTCTAACAAAGCACCCTCAAACCACCTAAAACAATCCGAAGCCAGCCACAGTTCAATGAGCCATGTACTTTTCATCCTTTACACAAGGAAGTAAAATCTTAAAAGAAGGTAGCTGATTAATCCATCCTGAGGGAAACCTTATGTAATGATAAAGTCTGAAACACCTGATACACTGATTAATAAAGAAAAGCAGTCTCTAAAACAGTCCTTCTGCCTAGGACTTAATGCATGTAACTTTACAGAACATCAAACATATTTGGATTTTTGAGAGATTAAGAAAGCAGAGTTGGATACATGCACCCCAATGTTCACTGCAGCACTATTTACAATAGCCAGGAGATGGCAGCAACCTGAATGTCTGTTGACAGAGGAAAAGATGAAGATGCGGTGCATATATAATGGAATATCATTCAACCATAAAAAAGAACTAAATAATGCCATTTGCAGCAATATGGATGGAACTAGAGATTGTCATACCGAGTGAAGTAACTCAGACTGAGAAGGACAGATATCACATGATATCACTTGTACATGGAATCTAAAAAAATGTACAAATAAATGTATTTACAAAACAGAAATAGAGTTACGGATGAAGAAAACAAACATGGTTAGTACGGGGAAAGGGAGGAAGGCTAAACTGGGAGGTCGGGACTGACATATACACACTGCTATATAAAAAGAGATAAAAGACCTATTGATAGCACAGGGAACTCTCCTCAGCACTCTGTAATGATCTGTATGGGAAAGAATCTAAAAAAACAGTGGCATTTATGTGTAACTGATTCATTTGCTGTACATCAGAAACTAACACAACATTGTAAATCAACTGTACTGCAATAAAAATTTTTTTAAGAAAGCAGAGTTGTAGGTCTTCTAGAATCATTTGCAAAAGTGAAGACCATCGTTTAAGAACTAATACGATATATGCTTTGCCTGTGTGTTCAGTCATGTCTGACTTTTTGTGATCCCATGGCGGCAGCCCATCAGGCTTCTTTGTCTATGGAATTTCCCGGGCAAGAATACTGGTGTGGGCTGTTATTTCCTACTAACCAGGGATTGAATCCTCATCTCTTTTGTCTTCTGCATTGGCAGGCAGATTCTTTACCACTGCACCACCTGGAAAACCCAGTATGACTTATATTGGGATTTCTAGCACACCTTCTTGATATTTTATAAAAACTAAGACAAAAAAGGGAGGAAAGTAGGGCAATGAAAAATTAGAAATACAGTTGAACAAACTATTTTCCCATCTTTTCCTGTACTATTATACATCAACTGAACACCCTATTCCAGCTGGATGAACTTCCATAAGTTTATCTAAGTTATGTCTCCAGCAAAAGTTGAATTATTTTAACTGCACTGATCTGTCAGTTTTATCAACCAACTCAGGGTGAGAGCCTTTTCATTCATTTGCTCTGCTGTCTGAGCAGAGTGGCTATTTAGCAGCCCCTAGGCACCACCTGGGAGAAGGAATGGCACCCCACTCCAGTACTCTTGCCTGGAAAATCCCATGGATGGAGGAGCCTGGTAGGCTGCAGTCCATGGGGTCGCTAAGAGTCGGACACGACTGAGCAACTTCCCTTTCATTTTTCACTTTCATGCATTGGAGGAGGAAATGGCAACCCACTCCAGTGTTCTTGCCTGGAGAATCCCAGGAACGGAGGAGCCCGGGTGGGCTGCTGTCTATGGGGTCGCACAGAGTCGGACACGACTGAAGTGACTTAGCAGCAGCAGGCACCACCTGACTACCACCACAGAGGGTTTTAGAAGTTTTTCAGATTATTAACTCACACAATTTTAACTCTCTTTAGAGCCTAGAAGTCATAGTGTCATTTCTCTACCCAACTTCCATTAGAGGAGCAATAGAAAAAAAAACACAGATTACTAGTGAGTTAAAACTTTTGTGAGAAATAGTAATAGTTCTATTAAAATTATAAGTAAAAACTGTAGAATATGCACTAGTTCTTTCTGCTCACTGCATTTTGACTTTGACAAATTGTAAAAAATTGTTTCATTTGCAAAACCAGGTTCTTAGCTCTTCGATTTCCACCATTATACTTAAGTATACTTTTTAAAAAGCTGTTTTCAGCCAGCAGTAAGAAAATAACAATGCATCTTTCACTGCATTGTGGCAGAACCCTTTGCATTCTTTTCAATTCTATCAGGACCCCAGGTAAGTAAACACTCAGCAAGTGTGTGTATTAAAAAATAATTGCTTTTGTCTCCATGAGGCATCATGCAGATTAACAAAATATTTTTGTAATATACAAGGCATGTATTTTTCCATTCTACGAAAAGCCTACAACCTAAAAGTACTACTAAAACAGATGCAGTTATAAAGACTAGGGACATCTGGGCTTCAATGTCAATGCTGACAATGAGGCTCTCCTTAACCAAACTAGGTCAGGCTCCTCTGAACTCTCTTCTCAATGAGGCTCTGACTTTGGGCTTCCAGGTTCATCTCTGCCTTGCCTACTTTACCAAGTATCCTGTTAGGTGGCTTTAGCTAGAAACCCCCTCTCACCCCTGATGTAAGTAAGTTTCCAGCCACTGGCCCCCACTTTGCTCCTTGGCTATAAATTCTCACTTTAGGGAATTCCCTGGTGGCCTAGTGGTTAAGACTTGGTGCTTTCACTGCCGGGGCCTAGGTTCCAATCCTGGTTGGAGAACTAATATCCTGCAAGCCAAGCAGCGCGGCCAAAAAACCCAAAACACACAAAACATTTAATCACAGGGCTGAAAGCAAAAGCCAGAGAAAGATCATGGCATCCAGGTTGCTGCTTCACCCGAGTTCTGCTTCACCTTACAAGCTGTTGTTTATAGTGTTCTTTAATCCCTAAGGAACATATATTTTTCATACAATAAATCACTTTTCCTTACTGGAAACATAAATTATATTACTTCTACCAACAAAACAGGAAGAATACATAATAAATAATCTTGACTTTAGATGATAGCAATGATTAAAAGATTCTATTCTATTCTATTCCCTACCTTTCCGTCTTTTTTGTCATTAAAAATTTTGTTTGGTTGTGAACGGGACCCACTCCTTACTTTTTTTTTTTTCACTCCTTACTTTTTCATAGAAGACTCCTTCACGCCACGTGGCTCAGCTGAATGAACACGCATGGTGCCAAGGCAATTCTGATTCCAGCATAACCCTGGCAAGATCAGTTACTTCCTCCAAGTTTCAGTTGCTTCACCCATATCTGAGGCAAGTGGTGTTCATCATCCTTAGATTTTTAATACTTTAAAACTTCATCTCTTTACTACTGTCATACAACTAGATGAAGTTTTAAAGTATTAAAAGTCTAAGGATGATGAACACTGCTTACAGGCTTCCTAGGTAGCCCAGTGGTAAAGAACTCGCCTGCCATGCAGGAGACGTGGATTCTACCCCTGGGTCGGGAAGATCCCTTGGGTAGGAAATGGCAACCCACTCCAGTTATTTTTGCTTAGAGAATCCCATGGACAGAGAAGCCTGGCGGGGCTACAGTCCATGGGGTCGAAAAGAGTCAGACACGACTGAGCACAAAGCTACTACTTACATGCCATAGTATAATTATCTCAAATATTTATTTTCTTACCTCCAAATATAAGGCCACATTTAAGAAACGTACACATTCCACTGCTGTTGCTTGGAATTTTCTAATACCACCCTGAACAATGTCACTTCCTCCTTGGTAACTTCCTATGTCATTTTTACTTGAGGGACAAGGAATATATTTTTAAGTGAAGCTGTCTTTAAAACACATACATACACAACTACTTTCACTCCATCACTTTTCTGTCATCCTTTAATGAACTGAAATTTTGCCAATCAGTCTTCTAAAATATTACATTTTCTTTGAAATGCTACATTACCTAGCGGCAGCAATCAGCATTTTTAATACTTTAAGCATTTCAATTTACTGTTCACTAGCACATTATGACATCATTGCCTTCCAGTGTCTGCACTCATTAAATAATCCTCTACCTTTGTTCCCCTGCCTTCGATACATAGATTGCAGATGTCCTATTGTTCCCGTTCACCATTTCAGTGAAGAAGCTTAAAAATGATTTAATATTTGCACGTTTCTTTGCTCGGTAAATAACACTTCCCCTCACTGCAACTGAGCTGGAGAGTCTATCTCTCACCAAAAGGCAAGATCTGGGCGAGACTAAAGAGGAACTCGAAGGCCGAATGGGAAGGGGGGCGGAGTCAGTACATCAGCCTAACAGGGGTTCCAGGGCTTTCACAGATAAACAAAGGAAGTTGATTTTCCCACGGTGCCGCATGTGCTTCGACTATCCTAAGGTACTCGTGCGGAAGCCCAGAGCTCATTACCTTGAAAACCAGCCCAAGTGCTGATTTTTTTTCTAAGGGAATCCCACTAAAAGCAGACAACCAGAAAGTCAACGGAGACAGAGATGGATGAGGAAGAGAGTGGGCCGACCATCGATTCCTTCCTCTGACTCCACGGAAGAACCTAAATATCTGCCAACCCCAACATACCGACACATAGCTCCTCCGCTGCTCAAGATACAATTTTCAGGGGGAGGAGAAAACAGGGAGCGTGCGGGGTGGGCTTCAGGTAGGGTGAGTGCGAGGATCAGGAGAGAAGAGTCAAGTTCAGGGGCGGAGGGCCGAGGGCACTGGAGGGTGGTCTGAACCGAGCGAAACCGCGTGGGTGTCGGCGGCGCGCGAACGCCAGAACGGCAGGGGGCGGGCACGGGCCCCTTTCTCACCTGGCAGCCCTTCTTGTGATGAAAGCCGACCACCACGATGTGCAGGACGGGCCCCCGTGGGGGGCCATCGCCGCCCCGCCTGATCTTCTCCATGGACGACCGCCGCGGGCCCGCACAACGATGACTTCAACCGCCAAGGGCGGCAAGCTCGGCGACCCCGCGATCCCCAGGAGGAGAGCGAGAGGTGGATTTCAGGTGTCAGTGAGGGAGCCGCATGAGAGCCGCGCGGGGGCCGGGAGGAGGCCGAGGATCCTGCAGCTCTGCACCGCCCTCCCGGGCCGCGGCCGCGCTTCCCTCATCCGCTTCCGCTGTTTCCGGGCTGTCACCTGATGCAGGGGCCGCCGCGGGCGAGGCGGGACAGGCGGGATCGGGAGGGACCTGAGGGGGCTGGGCCTGGTGGCGGGGCGGGGCCTGAGGAGCGGGGCGGGGGCTCTGGGTGGGCGGGGCCGAGGGCGGGACCTGGTGGGGCCGCTGGGCACACCTGTCCCCAGTTCACCCCCTCTCTGTGCGACCTTCTCCCCCTTCTTCCTCTGTCCTTGCCTCTTCCTCCTTAAAATCTCCGCCTCTACCCATCTCTTCCGTCAGTTTTTTCCTACCTTTTTTCCCCTTCATTTTCCGTGTATCCAATTCTTGCACCTCCTTCCCTTCGCCTCTCTGGCCTGGAGTCTCTGCCCTTTATTCTTAAATTTTGATAACATGGAGACATATTGGTGCAACTCTACATCTGTGTATTCAACCTTTAAGTTACTTGCTTACCCAGAGTTTCTCTTTTGCTTCGTTCTGTGTTTTTCCTTATTGAAATATTATGTATAGGAGTTTGGAAGTGTTTTAAGGCCTCATGCAGAATATCCTTGAAAATAAAGTAAATTTACAGGGAGACCTGTAAAAATGATTATTTCAGTCCTGATATTTTATTTTTTATTTTGTTGTGAAAGTGTTGGTTGTTTAGTCGTGTCAGACTCTTTGCGACCCCATAGACTGTAGCCAGCCAGGCTCCTCTGTCCGTGAAATTATCCAGGCAAGAATACAGGAGTGGGTAGCCATTCCCTTCTCTGGGTGATCTTCCCAACCCAGGGATTGAACCCAGGTCTCCTGCATTGCAGGCAGATTCTTAACTGTCTGAGCCACCAGGAAAGGCCAATTTAGTCCTGCTATTAAAAAAAAATTTTTTTTTTCATTCTATCTTTCTGGGTTTAGTACTCTGATCAGCACAAAATACATGGAGTCAGTTATCATCAGAGGTTTTATTTCCTTACTGATTGTACTAGTTGAATTAAAGAAACTGAATCTCATTTCACATCAATTTAAAGTGAATAGTGGAAATAATAGCAGATTTAACAAGTCTTGTCCAGGGCAGTTTGAGGGTAGGTGCCTGCTTCAAATAGCATTCATAATTATTGCAATAACTAGTTGTGAAGTTTATCATTACAAGTTGCCCATCTCTTAGTTTAGACAACCTTAATAGTTGATGTTTTCCACTCTGGCCTTAAAATTTAAGGACCTGCATTCTAATCTAAGTATGGCTGGGAAAAATTATAATGGTGGCTCAGATGGTAAAGAATCTGCCTGCAATGCAGAAGACCTGGGTTCAGTCCCTGAGTAGGGACCATACACTGGAGAAGGGAATGGCTACCCACTCTGGTATTCTTGTCTGGAGAATTCCATGGATAGAGAAGCCTTGAAGACTATGAAAGTTGGTGAGGTCTCCAAAAAGTTGGACAGGACTGAGTGACTTTCACTTCCATTTTCTTCTTATTAATAGAACATACTTTCTGTGAGTCAGTAGAATTGTTTTAATGCTAATAATACTGTAGAAAAACTTCAAGTTGTTGCTACTATTTCTTTTCTGTATTACAAAATTTTTGGCACTGACTCAGAACTTTGTGTGAAACTATAACATTCCCTGTATACAGAATATATATGTTACTGTTTTCTCCCATCTGCTTTGACATTTTCCACAATTGGCCTAGCTAAAATTGAAGTGAAATTGAACATTTTTTTAAAAGGATGAAAGGTCAGGGCATCTTAGAACTCTGTGTCTGTAGTGAATGCCAACTATTTACTTCGTTGTGCAGGAGACCCCAGTGATAGCAGTATAAAATCTGTATCAGAAAAAAAAAAATCTGTATCAGAACTTTCCTGGTGGCCCAGTGGCTCAATTCAGAGGGCCCGGGTTTGATCCCTGGTCAGGGCCCACTCCAGTGTTCTTGCCTGGAAAATCCCATGGACTGAGGATCCTGGTAGGCTACAGTCCATGGGGTCGCAAAAAGTCGGACACGACTGAGCGACTTCACTTCACTTCACTTCACAAGGAACTAGATCCCACATGCCACAGCTAAGAGTTTGTATGGCACATCTAAAGATCTCAAGTGCCACAGATAAGGCCCAGCATAGCCATACCCCCAAAATCTGTTATATTTTGCATGCTAGGGTCTCCAACTAAGATGAAATCATTTCTTCATTACCATTATTTGGTTAAATGTTTAAAAAATATGTCATTTAAAATAATGCTGTAAACAAAGAAGATATGTCACAGGGAAAACTGGGAGAGAAAGTAAGCAAGGGAATTTCTAAAATTTTTTCCACCTCTAATTATACAGACTGGTCCATTTAACATTTAACAACTTTACATTAGTTTTTAATGAGTTCTATTAATATAAAATACACTAATTAGCGACATGTTGTCTACAAGGACACATTGAGGGTAAATAGGAATTTCTCCTTTATTTTAAAAAAGTGTTCGAAAGACTAAGATTGGAAATAGCGATTTGAGATAATGAAATACTTCCTGAACATTATTTTGAGAGGAAAAATTTACTTATATTTTATGATGAAATTTATCTCCAGGGAAAAAAGTAGAAATGTCTTTCTAAACATACAGTAGAAGACTAGCTTCTTTTAATTATGTGTATGATAAATTATAAGTTCTATTTTATATCTGCTCTGTAAGAACCAGGAGAAAAACCCTGGCGACAGAGCTATGATATGTTTTCAAATTCATTTGGAATTGGCCTGTTTCTTTTAGTGTCTTGCCTCAGGAAAGAACTCAATAGAATAAAAACACCTCTTCCTGCAATCCCCATTAACTACTGTGTAAACAAATTGTATCTCCTTTTTCAGAGTATAAGACCTCCTTTATTCTTCATCAATAGTGCTGAATATTGCTAATGTTAATTTGGTTTCTGTAATGGAAAGCAAAATACTGACTTAAAGCTTATTTTCTTAAATTTTAAACTCTATCAGGTAGCAACAATGCCTTAAATTTGGTTCCTATTCACATTATGGTATGGTGAAAATGAAACAAGAATAGATATAGGAAAAAGAAAAATTTTGGCATTACTTTGTCTTGCCAGAGAATGATGTGACGATTGACTACTCTAAGATCCCTGAAGTTAAAAGAGAACTTTTTGCTTTACATATTAAATTTCACGTGCGTTGTACATAATGCTTGCTAGTTGTCTTTCTCCCCCATTTGTCCTTTAGCTCCTATAAGGGCAGAAGACATTGTAGTTCTGTTCTTTACACTATTTTATACTGAGCAAAATGCCAATGTTCAACTAAAGTATTTGTTCGATAAATGAATGATTGGTGCTTTACAGCCATTTTTGTGTGAATGAATGATGTTCTTCCTGGCCTCTCCTGCTTAAACTCTTCAACTTTAAGCTCCTCAGATATAAACATAAAATAAATAGACTAACGCAAAAAATTTGTTCACTTTTTCCTTTCAAAACAGATGTGTAAAAGCACCAAGGTTTCCTAAATGTGATGTTATTAACATAGAGTGACATCTGGTGGTTGCCTGTTGGACTGTGGAAGAAATAGTGTATACAAAAAGTGTATAGCAGACTCCTAGATATTACAAGATTAAAAAAGACAATTCAGTTCAGTCGCTCTTTGCGACCCCATGGACTGCAGCACACCAGGCTTCCCTGTCCATCACCAACTCATGATAGTAGAAGATAGAAAACAGTAGAAATGGAAAAAATATAAAAAGTAGAGTAGAAAAATAGGAAAAGAAAACGATAGTAGAAAATAGAAAACATACTTAAAAAATTTCCCCCTCGCCCAGAAGTTTTTTTAAAATGCTAGTTGTGGGTTTTCAAATCATCAGACTTTTAAAAGAAGCGGTAGGTTTTTTTTTTTTTTTTTTAACGAACATTGCAACACAATGAATCGGTGGCGGGAAAATCAAATTTATTGATACTGGTCGAAGAAAGATCCTTGGTTGATATGAGACACAGCTTGATGCGGGAAATAAGACAGCACAAACGTTTTCGTTTCGCAAAGTCTTCCGGATTAGAGGAATACCTTATTTATAAGACTGGAGATCTCTAAAGTCTCTTGGAAGTTTGGAGAGGAGAGTATCTGTGGAGAACGTGGAACGCTCAGTGAACTGAAACACTTACAATCTCACTGCAGGATAAAGAAGTGGCTGGATCTCCTCGATCGCACTCTCGGCCTCAGATTGGTCGAGCCTGCCCGGGCAGGAAAAAAGCGGAAGCGCGCTCTTTCAAACTCGCCGTTCCGACGTCGATAGAGGCAGGCCACTTCCGGCGTAGCCATGGCGGCTAACGCTACCACTAACCCGTCGCAGCTGCTTCCTCTAGGTAATCTTTGTAGTGTTGGGGAGCCGGGGCGGGTAGCTGAAAGTTAGGGTTGGGGCCGAAGAGCAAGGCAGCCCATGGCCGAGTGTTAGAAAAATTTAGCTTTCTCCGCCGCTCTCTACGCTCCTAGTCTCTGCGGCCTCATGCCGCCCACTTCTCTTTGGCGTGTTGGGGTTTTCTTCAGGCAGCGATTTTTGACTCCCCAAACCTTCACCGAAAAGGTTCACTCTTGGTGAATGCGTCGTCGGCCTTCTTTGTTGTGCGCTCGCCTTTATAGTAGTGGGTAGCAGGCCCGTTCCGCAACCGTGCATTTAAAGTTCTCAGATTAGATCCTGTCTGGCTGGTTTTTGAGAGAGGCACTCGGAATGAGCCTTTAAAGAGGCCTCTGGAAACGAGCTCTTGTTACTCATTTATTTAGCAATCAGTTACCGCGCATCTGTGCACTAGACACTGTGATTGGCCTTATTTAACAAATTTAAATCACGACCATTACCTTTAGGTAGCATACAAACCGGTGTAGGAGACAGGATACAGGGCAGACGTAGACTTATGACAAGAAGGAATCTCTGGTGAAGACAGTTATGCCTGTTTCTTCTTAATGTTTTATATTTGAAGGGTTATCGAGTTAGTGGATGTGGCAGTGATTGTAAAGTTTTTTTCCTTCCTGGAACAAACTCTTCTGAATGACCAGTACATTTCGGGCACTGTACACTGGGGATACACTGATGAGTAAAAACAACCACCTCTCAGTTCTCATGGAGCTTAGAGTCAAGAGGGGCGTTCATATGTTAATCAGATAATTAAGATAATAGTAAACCACAACCATGATAAATTGCTACAAAAGAGAGATAAGTGGAGAACAGGGAAAACTTTCCTGTTAATAGAATGACTGAAATATGTAACATAAGGTCTAAAGTTTTTGAGTGAAAACTTTTCCTGGCTTATCTTTTGACCATATGCACGTAATAAGTGTCAGTAGGCACTCAAATATTTGTTAAAGTTATGAATGGGCAAACTAATCTTTTCTCTCTCCCGCAACCCCCCCCCCCTTTTTTCCCTTAAAAAATATATCCGTAGAGCTTGTGGACAAGTGTATAGGATCAAGAATTCACATTGTGATGAAGAGTGATAAGGAGATTGTTGGCACACTTCTGGGATTTGATGACTTTGTCAGTATCCTTTTAAAAGGTGGTTGTATGGGTTTTTCTTCAGTATTTTTTAAAAAGAACTATAGACTATCAGTACTTACCGATTATTACAATAAAAATTAACTTATCTTCATGGAAATTGTGATAGTGTTTTAAGGGATGTGGTACTGAACGATGAAGTTCCTACCAATTGCAAGCAGCTTGCATTTGAGCCATTATATTCAGTGTTATAATTAAAACTGAACAAAGACATAAGCCAGAGTAAATTTTAATTTGGTATATTTATTTTCTTAACACCAAATTTCAGATATGGTATTGGAAGATGTCACTGAATTGTGAGTAGTGTTAAAATTAAAGAATGGGTAGGGGGAATCTCTGTGTTTGATTTAAGGCAATTTTAGTGCTGTTGAGTCAGTAAAAGGATGTAGGAGAGAACACTGCCTGTTTGAATTACTCTAAAGATAGAGAGTTTACCTAATGATGTTAGTAAAATTGGATTGGAGGATTATTACCTTAATGTAATTGTCACTAATTGCTAGGAAGTTAGTGGAGACAAAGGTTTAAGGTAAAGCAGCCAGGGATCTTAGGGCTCCATTCAAATAAAGGAACTGATAATAAAAGCATTTAATGTTTTCAATTAATTACAACTTATGTATATATATATATGTAAACATTTTATTACATATTTGATCTCCTTGGCAAGTTTCAGTTTTTTAGATGAAGATCTGCACTAGGGGATATGGGTCTTAGGCCAGTAAGTCCACTCTGTTGCCTTTGGAGAATTGACATCGGGGGGGATAACCTTGTCTCTGGAAAGTGTGTGTACAGTTCATGTATATATAATAACCTTTTGGCAGATCAAAATGTTGGCTTTGACTGTTACTCTTTATCCTGACTTTTTGAAAATCTTTTTGTTTAGTGAAATCACACCAGAAGGAAGAAGAATTACTAAACTAGATCAAATTTTGCTAAATGGAAATAATATAACAATGGTAAGACAGTGAAGGTCTTTTATTTAGATGTTAAGCCATCTTTGTGGAGCAGGGATTACAGAACTAACTTGCTTGACTAAATGCTCTTGACCCAGCGGTGCTTACGATGTGAAGGGAATGCTCTGTTGATCAGGGTTCTGTGGCCAAACTGTTGACAATGACATTAGACCTAAGATTAGTTTGCTTATGCCTTTTATTTTATGTATTTTTTAAAATATTTTTTTTATTTATTTGGCTGCAGTGGGTCTTAGTTGCATCACGAAAGATCTTTATTTAGTTGCAGTGTGTGGGATCCAGTTCTCTGACCAAGGATCAAACCCAGGCCGGCTGCATTGGGAGCATGGAGTCTTAGTCACTGCACCAGCAGTGAAGTCCCTGCTTGTCCTTTTTAATCATTTATTTTACTCATTTATTATTGTTGAAACACTAAATCACTAAGTATTAATTGATACTGTTGGGATTGTAAACAGAAGTGACGGGGAAAATGGGAATGTGAGGGAGAGGCAAAGACTGGTCAGTGACCAGTCAATGAGCTCTCAGTAGGGGTTTTTAGATCATGTAGTGCTAAACTAAGTATTAAACTTTTTCCTCCTTTGCAGCTGGTTCCTGGAGGAGAAGGACCTGAAGTATGAAAGGATTTCCTTGACTTATGCTAGGTTCTGTTTTGTTTTATAGTGACAACAGAAGAGAAGTTTTTTTTTTTACCTTTTAATGTTTGTATTCTGTGAAGCCAAGTTTCCCGTTAAAGGGAAATGCTTTGAAGATGCATTGTAAATGCCCATTTTTGTAAGTTCATCATGATTATATTGGGAAAAGAACAGTTTGTTCTTTGAAGACAAAAATAAACGTGTTTTTGTTAACTGTCATTTTATTTATTATACTGCAATAGCCAGTGAAACAAAGCTTGTAATTACTTTCACTCACTTTCCTGTCATTTTATGCTTATTTGCTTCCTCATGTACATGACATTTGATTCTCAAACAAAAATTGTTCCAAACAAAATGATGAGCCTTGATTTTGAGCAGGTGCATTTAAAAGACTAGAAATGATTGTTTACAAAACTCATTTCAGATTTTGATGCTTTTTTTTAACTGAACTCAAGTTCATTCAGTTCAGTCTCAGTCGTGTCCGACTCTTTGCGACCCCATAAATCGCAGCACGCCAGGCCTCCCTGTCCATTACCAACTCCCGGAGTCTACCCAAACCCATGCCCATTAAGTCGGTGATGCCATCCATCATTAACTCCTATTAAAAACAAACAAGCAACATACCCAGATAATATATGCACATTGTAGAAATGTAAAAAGGAAACTATTAATCACACCTTGCTGTATATGCTCTTAGATGTTAATACACTCTTAGTACACATTTTTTTTAAAAAAACTTGCTTTTCCTAAATGTACTGTTTGTTGCCTCCATTTAAGACTTTTTTGAATTTAAATGGTGAGAAAGTTTCTGTGTCAAATATCTCAGCAGCATTAATGTGGGCAAAGTATTTTATTAAATGGTTTTACCATAACTTATTTAGCCTATTCTTTATTACTGGTCACAGTAGTATTAACTAAATCTTTATATATTTTTATTTTTCTTAGAATAAATTCAGGAATTTGTAAGGTCAATTTGGTATATATTTACCTTACATGGTAAGGTCAATGGTAGATACTGTCAGTTGCCAACAAAAAGTTTATGCCAGCCTAACGTAGTTTTTCTTAGTGTGCGTGCTCAGTTGTGTCCGACTCTCTGCAACCCCATGTGCTATAGCCCACCAGGTTCCTCCATCCATGGGATTTTCCAGGCAAGAATACTTGAGTGGGTTGCTCTTTCTTGCACCAGGGGATCTTGCCGACCCAGGGATCGAACTTAAATCTCCCTGCTTCTCCTGCATAGGCAGGCAGATTCTTTATCACTGAGCCACCTGGGAAGCCCAGTTTTTCATAGTACCCATCACATACTTATCAACATTGGCTATGTTCTGTTTTTTCCCCTCTTTGCCATTGTGATAGGCAAAATCTGGTATGTTTAATTTTTTTAAATTAATGTTGAACTCATTTGTATTTTATAAGTTATATGAGGGTTTTGCCACTGAGATACTGTTCTTACTAATCTGTAAGAATTCTTAATAGGTTACTCTTAATCATGCATTTTACAGTAACTTCCCCAATTTGTAGTTTGCCTGTTGGTACTTTTTATGAATAATTTTTTTTGTGTTGGCCTTGTCCATAATGGTTTTTATCTATGATTAGAACCATATGATTTTATATAATATATATTTTAGTGCTTTATTATATTTCATTTCATTGCAATCTTGAATGCATCTTCAGTTTCAGTGTTTCCAAATGGTAAAAGGACCTAGCTTTACTTTCCAAAAAACAAAGCACTGATTTGTGTGTGTTTTTACTTTCATGGTGTAAACATTCCTGCTTGGCTGGTTTCAAGCAGCCATGGGTTTAATAGCTGGCTTGCAAACTTTGCATAGATTTAACAGTAGGTTCTTAGGAGTCTGTTATTCCATCCCACTACTTGTGACCCTGTTGGAGGGAGAGGAGGCAGTACTTTCCATCCTATTATTTTTCCCTTTGGAGGGAACATAAGTGAGGTAATGCCATCGTCTTTCTCCTCTTTTACTTGATATCAGGCAGGAGTTGGGTGGTTGGTCATGTTCATATGTTTCCTCCTGGGAGTTAGCAGCCTGCAGGGAGCACATGTGCTTAATTCCAACATGCTGTGAGTTCTACAGAAATGTGACCTCACAAAGGGAGGCCTCCAGTTACCTAGTCTGTGGCAAGCGGATTGGTTTTACTTCTGGGGTTCAGCGACAGGAAGTCCACTTGCCTACAGATAAAGTATGTCTCTTAATCTAGTCTTTAGCAGTAATACCAAGAATGGTCTGACTCCCATCTGCTTATACTTTTGTCATACATTGCATTTCTTTTAGAATGGATACTATTGTAAATAAGGGTTTCTTAACCTCGGTGCTACTGACATTTTTGTCTGGATAATTCTCAGTAGCATGCACTGTCCATGCATTGTAGGATCAATTAGATGCCAGTGGTATCCTTCCCTGCACCTCCCAGGGAAATGGCTCCAAATGTCCCCTTAGGGCAAAACAGTCACAGTGGTTGAGAACCACTGTTATTCATAATAAGAGCTCTATATTGGGCTCTAAAATCCCTCAAAATTTAGTGCATGGGCAAAGAATATTGGATCTAGAGGAGTAAAAATTGGGGAGAAAATGTGATTGAAGATTCTGGCAGAGTACAAGAGGTGATTTTTTAAGCTGAAATAATGTGAAAGGATTTTTACTTCGGGAGTCTGCTGGTGAATGGCTGTTTTTATACAGGTGTGTTTGTTTCTGTGACGGCCGGGCTGTATGTGCTGGGCTCTGTAGTGAAGGTGGGGCCTTAGCAGAAAAGGCTGAAGCTATGCTGGCGTTGGTGACTTAGGTCAGTTTGCCTCAGACTTTGGTTTCAAAACTGGTATGACAAGTCAGAATGACTTGGAGAGCTATTACAGAACACAGGCCCAGGCTTACTGAAATAGGACAGGGCCTTTGACCTTTGCATTTTGCCAAGTTCATAAGTTCTCTAGGTAGTTCTGTTCTTCACCAAAGCCTGATTCAATGCCTTAGATGTAGCTTTTTAAGGCAGATGCAACTGAAGCAAAGACTTGATTATAGAGATGAGACTCGGTATATAGATCTTTTACACATTAGTGAGAGAATAGTATTTGCTGCATTTAAACTGTAAGACAGGGACTTCCCTGGTGGTCCAGTGGTTAAGAATCCTTCTGCCAATGCAGGGGATATACATGGATTCAATGCTTGGTCCAGGAAGATCCCACATGCGGCGGAGCAACTATGCCCATGCGCCACAACTACTGAAGCCTGCATGCCCATCCTGCTTTTAAAAAACTGTTCAAGGCAGCTAAGTTCTCTGTCATGCATAATTCTGATGTGAAGAGCTGACTCTGGAAAAGACCCTGATGCTGGGAAAGACTGAAGGCAGGAGGAGAAGGGACGACAGAGGATGAGATGGTTGGATGGCATCACCGACTCAATGGACATGAGTTTGGGTAGACTCCTGGAGTTGGTAATGGACAGGGAGGCCTGGCGTGCTGCGGTTCATGGGGTCGCAAAGAGGTGGACACAACTGAGTGACTGAACTGAACTGAAGTGAATCCTCACTTTTGATACTCCTCAGTCCTGAGGGTAACGGGCAGGACAAGAAAGGGAATAAAGTTTTGGATATAGAGATAAATCATAAACTCAGAAGGGGTACTTGGTTTTATAGTGACTTGGTTTCAGCAACTCAAACAATGTGATTGACTAGGAGGTCAGGTTCATACTGTTCATGGGGTTCTCAAGGCAGGAATACTGAACTGCCATTTCCTTCTCCAATGGACCATGTTTTGTCAGAACTCTCCACCATGACCCATCCGTCTTGGGTGGCCCTATATGGCATGACTTCTAGTTTCACTGAGTTAGACAAGGCTGTGGTCCAGGTGATCAGTTTGATTAGTTTTTTGTGACTGTGGTTTTCATTCTCTTGGCCCTCTGATGGATAGGATAAGAAGCTTAGGGAAGCTTCCTGATGGGAGATACTGATTGAGTGGGAAACTGGGTCTTGTTCTGGTGGGCGGGGCCGTGCTTTGTTGGTGATGGACCGGGGAGCCTAGCGTGCAGCAGTCCATGGAGTCGCAGAGTCAGACAGGCCTGAGTGACTGCACTGACTGAGGAGGTCAGGGGTTTAAGGCTAGCAGGTCCCCTTATCGAGGGTAAGATAAACTAAGCTAAGTTGGAGGACCGTGCCAGGGGTATTCTAGGTTTCCTCGACAGCGAGGCATTTCCGGTTAGTGCACGCTGACTTAGGTTTTGATTTGATTTGTGACGTGAGCTGGGTCACTGAGTAGGCCTCCGTTTTGTGGATCCCAAGATGAAGTTACCTTTATCAAGAGTTACATGGGGGTTTCTAAGAGCAGTTTTAACTGTGGCTTTTCTAGATTTCATTAAGAAGAGTACCCTTATCCCCTCAGTTCTCCCTTCTGGTACTTACTCAGCACTGTGCCTGGTGTGATAATTGTTGACTGGTTACTTCTGCAGGGAGTAAGTTTAAGTTGAACACTGAACATTCCGTATCACCTGAAAGTTTAATGTACCTGTTTGGTAGGAGGAAATAGCAAGTTCGTTAGAGGTAGAGTGAAAATTTAACAACTCCTGAAACAATTAGAGAAGTAACATTGAAATTTTAAAACAAAAATACAGCCTATCTATACAACTCTAGCAGAAATGAGCTCCTAATAGGAAAAAAGTGTGTGTGGGGGGTGCAAAATGCTCAGTACTAGATTACCTTTGGCTTAGAGTTATATTGGCCTGGGACACAGAGGTCAGGAAAGTGACATTAACTTGGTGTTTTTTTTTTCCTGTAATTAAAAAACATTGAACATTGTTTGAGGTAATGTATTTGCATATAAATAAATGTAAGTGAAGATAAAACTCCCTCCCTCAGGTATTATTCCAGAGATACTCAGTTCCTGCATATGCATGTCTGTGTTTATATAAATGTGTAAACACACAATTCCTTTTTCCTGTACACACAAATACAAGCATTTGGAACACATTGTCCTGTACACTACTGCTTTTTTTTTTTTCAAACTTTTGGAGATCTTCCTATATTTATTTTGGGATAATCAACGTATTTGACTGCTAAATGATTTAACATTTTTGTGTTTACTAATGGCTTCCTAATGCCAGGAAAGACATTTCTACTGTACAAAATTCAGAAAATTAAGCTGGAATGAGAAAAAAAGGTCAGAAAATTAATCATCTCTGAAATCACTGTGTATAGCAGTTTGAGGACTTGCCCATTTCCAAGTTGTTGAAGTCAAGACAGAATTTTAAACTGGTCAGAGTACCCATGCCCTCTCTCAGGAAAATTTCTTTGTAGAGACACTGAAGACCTGAGATACTCAGTGGTCCTGCCTCCTTTTCCAACTACTTTAAGAAGTGGGTTGCATCCATTATGTCTCACATTTAAAAGGAGACACCCACGCTATGTGTTGCATAGCCTGGAATGTGTCAGTACTTGAAAGTAAACATTGTCAAACCTAAAAGTAATACAATGTTATGTGTCAATTACATCTCAATTTTTTTAATTTAGGGAAAAAAAACAGGAGCAGTTGTTGGTGCTGCTTTTCTAGATTTGGCATCCAGAAGCCATTTCTGGATGTCCCAGCAGAGCAATCAGAAGTAGAAATGGGAGTATAGGCATGATTTGTATCCTTAAAACCTGGGGTCTGAGAGCTCTGTTGGCAGAAGGAAAAGTTTGCTCACAATCAGTCTTCTGTTTCTCTAGCAGCTTTTTAAAAAATATTTATTTGAATGTGCTGGGTGTTAGCTGCAACGCTCAGGTTCTCTGTTGCAGTGTGCGGGCATATTCGCCCTGCAACATGTGGGATCTTCCCAGATCAGGGATCCAACCCATGTCCCCTGCATTGGCACATGGGTTCTTAACCACTCAACCACTAGATGTCCGAGCAGTAGTTCTTTACTGGGTGCTGTCTGTCTAGCAGGAGTCCCACATCCCAAGTCCTGGGAGGTCAGTAAAGGGCACAGTGGGTGATCAGGGAGCTGAGCAGCAGATGGCAGCCCCACAGCCCCCATGGAGGGCAGGCCTGGCCTGTAGGGAGATCTTGAATCCAGAGCTGTGGATTGTGGTGGGGAGTGGGGTGGGGCTCTGGGACAGATCACCCCCACCTCCTTCCCCTACAACAGGCCCTTCCCTCTGGCTTTGCTTTCTCCCCCCTGCATCACCCCCTTCCCTTCCTCGTTAGAATAGATCACTCACACCCTACCCCCATGAGCCTCTCAGTGTCATGGAACTTGGAAGTTATGGTAGTAAATCACACACAACTGTAATGACAGGTTGGAACTATGATTGGTTAAAACTTCTTCCCTCCAATTTTCCCTGCAACCTTTTGCTTTCTCTTCTTGCAAAAATAAAAAATTAAGTTGTTATTTCGGTGAATTTAAGTTCTACATCCCAGCATGATGTGGTATAGAAATACAGTATCAGTATAGAGTCTGACTACTGGGCATATTTTATTAACCTTTAGTTACAAAATGTCTCTCCTGTCACATCCAACTCTTTGCGATCCTGTACTATAGCCTACAAGGCTCCTCTGTCCATGCAATTCTCCAGGCCAGAACACCGGAGTGGGTAGCCTTTCCCTTCTCCAGGGGATCTTCCAACCCAGGGATCAAACCCAGGTCTCCCACACTGCAGGCAGATTCTTTACCAGTTAAACAACAAGGGAAGCCCTGAGCCACCTAAAAACTAAAATTTTTTAGCTTTTACTAAAAAAGACCCTTTTTATTTTGGTTCATTGTAGTTTTCTGCTGATTGAAATGGCATGTATGAGATTATAAACATGATCGTGGCTATTTTAGCATGTTATTTTTATTATATCAGGAAACTTTTTTGATTTTATGCTTTGTCTAAGTTAGCAGAAGACTTTGTGATTTTAGAATCTGATTTTGTGATCTAGAATCAGAACTTGGAGCTCACAGATGATCTCTGTGTAAACACTAGTAACTGCTCTAAGAACAGCTACTTTGTTTTCATGTACAGCTAGCTCTTCTAGGATAGTTATTTCCACTCTTTTGTGTTGTCTGTCTAGCTCTTCAGAAGGTCACTTATGATGACATTAGGATCTCCAGCCCATGAGAAAGCCAGGCAATGCTGTGTTCTCAAACAGGTGAATTCCAGTGATTTTTTTTTTTTTTCGCCAAAGAGCTTACACACTCATCTCAGGAAGATGAGACTAAGCCAGAAGACTGCATACCAGATGTTCCAGACAATGAACATGCCAGGGAACTTCTGGTCCACGCACCAACCAAAGGACTTTGGATGCCACTGTGGAAAGAAGTCAGAGTCATGCAGTGTGAGCGTGGAAGAGTTTCAAGTAACACCCTCAATACACACAAGTTATAGACCACTGTTTACAAATGAGTTCACTTTTAATTCATTCTCACACCGCGTTGTTAAAGTCAGGGCATGATCTCTAGGCGATAGATGAGGAAGCTGCTTTGCAATTGTTAATATCTGGGGTAAGAGACAGAGCAGTGCCTTGACTCCAGAGCTTCTGACTGCAAGGGCATTGGTCTTCCACTGGACTGTAGCTGCTTGCAGAGTCTATGCTTCAATAATCCTGTAACAGAAAGGATATTCCATGTAGAAATGCCATGGGGGACAAAGGATGCATTGGGGGGTGGTCCCTTGGGTTTCATCTCAGGTGGTCCTCATATTCATTGGTGTTAAGGTTTTATCCAGGTGACCTGAGAGGAGCTGTGGGCCACACAGGGTGGGTCTGGACCAGGTGGAGCTGTGTGCACACTATCCACTGTACCAGCATAAGATGGTGTTTGTTAAGAAGGGGTACTTCTGCCTTAAAGACATTGTACAAAGATCCTTCACGCACACAATTAATGTAGTGGTTCCCAGCCTCTTCATTCCCCTCACCTCAAAGGGACCACCCTCAACCTCTTTTAAGATGGTTACTTTTTGAAGCTTATCTCTGGACTAAAAAAGGACTAAACATACCAAAAGCAAAAAATTGGCTCATAAACTCATCCTGTTTTTAAAAATCTCTTCCAAATCTTCCAAATCGTGAATCAAAAAGTCATGTTAATGATCAGGAGTTAAGTTGTGACAATATCCCAGCCTTTGGTAGAAGGGGTAGGCTTACATATTTCTTCAGTCTCAAGGTTTTAGGACTAAACCAGGAACTTAAACTTCCCTGGAACCATTATGTGTCCTATTCTTCACTTACCTGCTTTGCTTCATTCTTTGCACCCCAGATATAATCATCTCCTAAAGTTCTCCTTAGGGTGCTCCCTCCCCACTCCTGTCAGCTGTGCCCCTGCCAGTCCTAGGGTGCTCCAAACTCAAGCTTCAACCAGGTGTGGGTGGTCTGCTAGTCCAGTCCCTCAATCTCACCATTTTACACTCCTCCTACCCACAACCCACACAGCAAAGCAAATCAACTCTTCCCAACTTCAAACTCCAGTCTTTTTAAAAAGATTTTTAGTCCTTGCACATATTTTTTACTCCTGTGTGAATCAGAACCGTCACCACTTTGTTCTGTTGAATAAAACTGGTTTTCAGCCATATAAGCACTTTCCATTCTAATTTCTCCTATAAAATACTTCATATGCTGGTTGAAATTCCTACAGCACATTCACTTCATTTCTCTACTCAATCTGAATTAGTCGCTTATTGCCTATAGGATAAAACTCTTAAGTGAAAAGAAACACTCTTTTACCCTATTCTTAGCCTCTTTCCCAATTCCTCACAATTCTCCCCTCTGGCAGGATGATTCTCAAACAGAATTCTGCCCTGTCCATTTGAGCTCAGGCTGCTGTTTCCATTCCCACTCCAAACTTTCTCCTCTCACCTCCAAACCACAGATCCTGTCTGTTCCAATTCTCTGCCTCCACATGGACCGCCCATTCTCAGCAGTCCTGCTAGATCCATGTTCTCTTGACTATGCCAAACTCTCCTTATTACCACCACCACCCAGATCTCTATCATCTACTAGAGCACTTTGTTTCAGATTACACTGCATTTTCCCTGAATGCAGGAATTCTAACTTAAGATTCTTTTTGCAGATCCTTTGAATATGGGCAGTATAGTTAATAGGGCTTTCCAGGTGGCACTAGTGTTAAAAGAATCTGCCTGTTAATGCAGGAGATGTAAGAGACACAGGCTCGATCCCTGGGTTGGGAAGATCCCCTGCAGAACGGAATGGCAACCCACTCCAGGATGCTTGCCTTGGAGAATCCTGTGGACAGAGGAGCCTGGTAGGCTATAGTACATATGGTGGCAAAGAGTTAGACACGACTGAAGTGACTTAGCACACAGCACAGTATACTTAAAGTGACAATGCACTTTCAAAATGAAGAAATGCTATTGATTCACCTGGTAGGGAACGAGCACAGACAACTAAACAGTATATGAACCCGTTAGTCACTTACACTCCAGTGATTGTGAGAGGCTTTCCTGGACTGCAGTCCCTCCGGCTTGGCCATGGCGGGGTCTGCTGCGGAGCCTGACACCAGTGCTTTCACAGCCATCCTGTCGTTGCCACTGGCAAACCGCAGGGACACACTCACATTCACCACAAACTTGGAGTAACTTGCACTTATTTCTGGTGGGCCAGACCACAAGTTGAGAAGGGATAGAGCTCTCAGGTGGCACCCTGATTATCCTTCCAGCCTCACGATAAGACCTTCCTTTGGAAGATGTCAGAGGGCTCTGTAGATTCACTTCTTCAAGGAGGCATTCTACCTCATCCATGTCACCTTCCTGTTCCAACTCAGAGTCTTCTGAATCCTCAGGAAGCACAGCAGTCAAGACAGTAGTTTTCTTCAACAGATAGGCTGTCTTAGCATTTGAGAAGCTGCTCATGTCTTTCAGCTTCCTGCCTTTCATGGTCTTTTTAACTTTTGCACATCTTTTCAAGTTCTCATTATATACCTCCTCAGTTTCATCATTTAAGGTCACTTCATCTTTATCCACATTCAGTTTCCTGTTTGTAACTGTTTTTTTCCATGATCCCTTGGTTTTGCTGTCTGATGCTGTCTCTTCACCCCTGGAGGGCATTTGCTGGGGAGATTTCTCTACCTGGGCTTCATAGCAACTCACGTTGCACTGGATGCCCTCATCCACTTTGTTGACCTGGGCCAACCAGGTAGGGGAGGAACCCTACCCTTCATCGTTACTGTTCTCTTCCTCACCTTCATAATCATGTTTATCCTGGCTCCTACACTCAATCTGCTTTGCTACATATCTCATATCACACTGGATACCTTCATCCACTTTGTTGAACTGGGTCAACCATGAACAGGAGGAACCGTACCTCTCATAGTTATTCTCTACCTCACTTTCATATTCATCCTCATCTTCACCCTGGTACCCACTCTCCACTGGCTCTGCTGCCTCTCTCGTTTCCCACTGGATGCCCACATCCACTCTGTGCAGAGTAGGAGGCGGGGCGGAATACCAACACCCCTCATGGAGGATATGATCATCACGTCTGGATGGCATTTGCTGGGGGTCTCTCTCCAATTGTATGTCCTCACTTCCTTCATTTTGCAGGGAGGCAGGGAAGAGTATAGGGGAATAAAAACACTCCTCATAACCACCAGAATAATAATCATCATCAAATTCAACAAGATCCCCATACTCCCACCGTGGCCCTTCGCTGCTTTCTGATGGTGGCTTGTTCTGTTTATCACAGCACTGAACAGTGTCACCCTGGATGGCCTCATCTACTCTGGTGACCAGGGGCAGCCAGGCAGGGGAGGAACTCTGCCGCTCACAGTTATTGTGTAACTCACCTACGTATTCATCTTCATGCTGGTACCCATTCACCATCTGCTTTGTTCCTTCTCTCATTTCCCCCTGAATACCCTTATCCACTCTGTACAGGGTGGCATGAGGGGCAGTATAATGACACTCTTCACGGAGGATGTGAGTGTCACCTCTGGAGGATGTTTGCTGGGGATATTTCCTGAGCTGTAGGCCCTCACCTACTTCATTTGGCAGGGGGACAGGGGACATTGAGAGGTGGGGAATGAACGCCTCATAACTCTCAGAATCAAAATCATCATCATCATCATCAGATTCAAAGAGGTCCCGATAATCCCACCACGGTCCTTCACTGCCTTCTGATGATGACTCAGGCTGTGCATCATGGCACTGACCCACGTCACCCTGGATGCCCTCATCTACTTTGGTGACCTGAGCCAACCAGGTAGGTGAGGGAATACCTCCCTCGGCGCCCATTGCTCTCCACCTCTTCCTCTTCAGCCACATTCTCAGGGATGCTGGTCACCACTCGCATGTCATGGCTGTTACCTTCTGAGTTCACATCTTGCTTTTTGTCCAAATTTTCAGCCTGCTGAGGTTCAGCTTCTGTTTGTGTGTCTTTTGTTTTCATTTCTTTCCAGCAGCCACCATATTGTTGGAACTGGGCCATGTTATAAAACACTGGGACCATGGATCTTTGGTCAAGAGTAGTGGGTAACAGGGACTGAGGGATGAGGAAGGTAGGATGCTCACTGAGCGCCACAGGACATGGAAAATACAGACTTCCACTTGTGAAACCTAGAAAAAGAAGGGGATAGTTAGCCATTTTGTCTCTTGCCGCCAGTCACAGCATTCAGCCAGTACTCACTGCACAGTCACAGCCACTCACACCCACCGGAGGACTCCCACCGAGTCTCCTGTTACCTCTTCTGTTATCAAAGCAAAGGACATAAAGTCCTCCCCCATTTTTTACGTGAGTAACTCCTAACGACTTTCTTAACCCATCTCCCATGCCTCTCATGCTCCTCTGTCCAGGATTTCCCAGGCAAGAGTACTGGAGTGGGTTGCCATTTCCTTCTCCAGGGGATCTTCCCCACCCAGAGATGGAATCCAAGTATCCTGCCTTGGCAGATTCTTTACCTCTGAGCCCCCTTAGACTGTTTAGGCCTCATCAAAAAAAGTATAGAGACTAGGAGCTGTAAGGTACCTCTTCCAGCCAGACTGGTCTCACAACCCAAGGAGACTTTGGTTGGATTACTCTGTGAGCCTGAGCCAATCTCTGACGGGGAGCCTCGGTTCCCTCATTTGGGGAGCAAGGGAAGCAACAATACCGAGCTCATGGGTTGATGTCAAATGAGAGAACCCATTTCTACTATTGAGCAGAATAACTGGCACAAAGCTAGAATTCGCATATTTTCTTTTAACCTGAACAACAAACACTGCCCCATGGGCTGCCATAATCTCCTAGTGTGAACACAGGGTGAAGGGAAGTAATGGACAAAGGTGTTAGAAAACCTTCAGGCTCTGGTTTACAGGGAGGGTCCTTAATCTCACTGAACCTCCTTGGGGATTCAGATTCCTCACCTGCCCCAGGAGTGGAGAGTGGATTATAGACAGGATTCTGGTACCAGGGACCCAGGTGAGGCTGCTGGGCCATGGGCAGCACATAGAAGACAGGTCTGGAGGTAC